GGTAAATCCAATAAATGTCATTATTTCCAAAAAAGATTTTGGGGATAACACAAAATTTAAAGTAAGAAACGGGTGATAAAAATTATTTTTTTAGCAATTATGAAAAGTAATCTAACCAAGAGGACAAATACTTTCACCTGTAAAAATATGAATGCATTGTTAAACCATAATGGAAGGTGTGGGAAATGAGTACATAACAGAAAGTCATTAATATTATGTTGCAAAAATTACTATTTAACTATTCAAGAAAAGGAAAGGTTTTAAATTGAAGAGATCACTGGAAGTTATTAATATTCATATTTTGTTCGAATGGGTATTATGACCTATGTATTTAAAATATAACAGATCTTTTAAATATCACACCCTTAGAATGGAAAGCACTAAGCTAATGTCTAGACGATACTAAGTTTTTACATGTCTAAATTGTTGCCTAAATCCAAAGGTATGGAGTACCAATATATCACGTTATTAAAAATAATTATAATCTTATTTGTGGGTTAACGGACAACATTTTGACATTTGAGGCACTTCTTTTAGGTTGATCTCTGTACTTTTTATAATATAGAAAGCAAAAGGAAGAAAGTTATACATTTCAGCTTTTTAAAGTTACGCTATAGCTTTAAAAAAAAGTAAATCAAAATTTCTGCAAACTAAAACAGCTACCGCCTTAAAATAAAATTCCAACCGATGTAAAAATAAACAAATGAACCAACAGGCACTCACCTCATCACAATTAAATACCAATACGAGACGACCCAACATGGCGCCCAATGCTTTAACACATTCTGTTTTTCCAGTACCAGCTGGGCCGAAAGGATTACCACCCAAGCCCATATGCATGGCTTGTGTTAATATAAGATAACATTTGTGTGTTAAACGTGTACTGACCAGCTTATTAGGATTACCTAAAAATTCATACGAATATTCAAATTCAGCATACACCATACGTATGATAACCGTGCGTGCATCTCTGCCACTGCCACCTGCACTCCCTGTTCCACCACCGTCGTTGCCTAAATAAAACTTTAGTTGTGCCAACCAATGCCAATCATTTAGATGCATTGTATTGTTTTGTATTAGTTCCTCCACGACTGTTACATAGTGTACCAGTTCAAAGAGTAAAGAACGCAATTTCATTTGTAACAACATGTCATGGGTTTGATGTTTCCATGTCGAATATTTGGTTATTTCCGTATTGAGTTGTTGTTGGAGTTTTTGTAGCGACATCGTTTGTATGGCTTTTTCAGCCTGTTTGGTAAACTGGATGGCCCGTGTAGTCGATAGCACTTGTATGGCATAATTTTGTAAAATATTTTCATTGTAACCATCTGTTGGATAGGAGTTAAAACATTGAACAATTTGCTCTTTCAGGGTTTGTTGGATGTTGTTGACCAGTGCATTTAACCAAGTCTGAATGTGTGGGATGTAGTAATTTGATGTTATATTAGTTTTAAGTTAATAGTAGTAGTAATCTTTGGAAATTTTACTTACTTCTATGGGTCCAGACATTTCAATGGCTGTTTTTAGATTAAGAACATCTCCTTCAGAACTTTTTACTGATTGTATGGTATATACTGGACGTTCTCCATTCGTTCCATGTTTAATACCCAAAGCATGACAACCAGGAAAAAGTTTCTTAATATGTTTTTGTATAACTTCGGGATCTTTAGAGGCTTGCCCTAGGATCTCTAAAAGATCATCATCGCCCAGGAAGTAAAATCGGGGGAAAGAGTTGCGTTTGTCCTTAATTGTTATAAAAAATATTAATTTTGAATTTATATTAGAACTTTTTTACAATAACTCACCATTATATAGGACATTAGATTGTTTTGACATCTGGTCAGTTGAGTTTCCAGGGACTTGACTAGAGTGGTTATATTGTTAATTTTTACCAAAGATATAACTCTAGGATCCATTTCTATTTCCCTCATAATATAACGAAAGTCCTTGTCTATGCGTTTAAATAAGGCCTCTTCATTTTTGAGAGTGCCAGCTTCGAACACTGGTTCCAAATAAACCCATCTAGAGATTTTAATGAATAGTTGAAATATTTGTTAAAAATGTTCATTAAAGATTATATTTTACCTTCTTTGTGATTGATTCAAACTAGTTAAAATAGCATCCAAAGAGTTTAGTCTACTTTCCCATAGTTCTGCCTGATCCGAAAAGGCCTCAAAAGCTGCTGAATTTTTGGCCGACTGCAGTAATGATTGATTATCACCAATTTTGTTTAAGACTTCCTGATAATCCTTAATTAAAGTTATAGAATTTCCCGAAGAATCCTTCTGTGTTACCAGCTTTAACTTGGCTGTAACCGACCATTGATCTAGTTCAGTTAAAGCTTGTCGCACCACTTGCTCTGAAGAGGCTTGTCTTACAATTTGTGCTATTTCTCCAGCATGTTGTTGCAACAAAGCCTGATCTTGTAAAATATCTTTCAAGGTAAAATTGTGTAAATTTTTCATATCTTCCTTTTTGAGTAAAACAAAAATTCTAGCCCAATGACGTTCCGTTAAAGAGTCCGATTGCAACTGCTGCAAAATGGGTAAATTGGTTTGTAACTTTTCAACACTTTGTCTTATTCTCTTCGATGAGAGATCTATAGAAGAGTTAACTGAACCTTCCCATTTTGTTATGAGTTCATTTAAAATATATGGACGTCTACGATAAATGGCCCATTCTTCTTTCAGTATAGCATCCAACTCTTTTAGATATTCATCGTAAATAAGCCACTCCTGAGATTGGGCTTTCATTTTGGCATCAATTTCGTCGAATGGCTTTAGCAAATCATCGGGAAAGATCATATTGAACTTGGCACATTCTTCTAAAAGTTGCTCCTTCTTGCTTAAAATCTCCTGCCAGTGTTCTTGACGCTCTTTGAACATATCCAAAGAGGCATCTTCATTAGCCTCCAATTCGGCTATGGTCGATTCCCAACGTATGACAAATTTCTCTGCCTCATTGTGTAGATTTTGTATTTGTGTCTGGGCCTGATCTTTGATCATGTTCACTTGACGTTGCAATATGACAGCATGATTTTCCAATAAGGGTTGTAGCTTCTCCCATTGTATTAGTATGGATGCTAATGAGGTTACACGCTCCTTACACCAACCCGCTAAACAGGTATCTTTAGCTTTGACCAAATTGAGAGTTTCCGTGACTTTGGGTAATTCGGTCATGATTTTTTCATATTTAATACCCGACTCAGTTATGGAGGATTCATCCATGGGTACATTTTGCAAGAATTGTAGAGCGTTTTGAAGAAACTCTTGTATGACTGTGATGTCGTTTAGTATGGATGCTCTAAGGCTATTGGATAAAGCCTCCCAATAACGACGACTGATATTTTCAATATCTGAACGTAAGGGCAATATATCGATTACAATGCAGTCAATAGATTCTTCGTTGCTGAAAAAGAGATACAATTTTTAGTGATTAGAACCAAAGAGAATTTGCTTAAAAAAAATGTATTTAAGATAAAGCACTTAAGATCTTTTCGCTCAAATTTTCTTTACTTCTATCAGAAAGTAAAGAAATTTCGAATTACCATGATCTTGAAATTCCGAATTGCTATTAACTGCAAGTTCTTACTCTTCAACGTGGACGAAAATGTGCTTTGATCGGATTCTAAAACTAAACTCCCGAAATACTCTTTCTTGATCGTATGGAGAATATTTCTTATTCGGAATCAAGATTTTGTTTCCAACTGATTTATGTTATTTTAGTTAGAGTCAAAATAGAATCATTCAAGCAACTCGTATAGTTTTAATACGATCTTTAATACTTTTCGAATAAAACTTATTCTCAAAATGTGTTTAATTAACAATAAAATTGTCTGAAAATTTGGAACACATGGTGCAACAATCTTCTCGGAAACCACCCCAAAATAAGATTGTCATCTTATTTTCTACTTACTTTTGTATCTTAGCAATTTTCTGGCTAAAATGTTTACACTTTCGAAAATTACGATCCCAATCATCGGATGTTTGTAAATGAACACCGCAAAGTTCCTCAACATCGACACAGCCTAGAGCCACCCATGGCAGCCAGAGTTTTTTAAATTTATCTAATTTCGAAAATAATTCTTCAGCTTGTTCATATAAAGGACCCAAATAATGACGATTAATTTCGACCATAGTTTTAAACAGTTCTGAACCTTTATCAGATAAGCCACGAAAGCCACAGGGACGTTCTATAAAACGGCGCAATTGTGTAAAATACTTATCACGAATTTCTTCTTCCGAGGGAATAAAAATTAACTGGCGTTGACTAAAACAAAAATAATGGGTTAATAATGATAAATTTGGAATAAATGCTTAAATTACCGAAATGTTATTTTTATATGAATATCGGGCAATTTATTATTCATATCCACTAAACCTATAATATACTGATACTCCAATACTTTATATAGCTGATGATCCCAGTGCAACTTAAAAGCGTCTAGATTAGTAAAACCCTGGCGTTCTAAATTTGCCACCAGTTCTCTTAAATGACGCATTTCATCTTTCCAGGTTTGACTTTGGGTAAATAGATCGGTGTTCATAAGTTTTATAACCTGAAAGCAATCAATTTTACACAAACACATTTTATTTTCTCTCAATTCCATCAAAAATACTAACCGTTCTCTTTGCCTGCTCATGATAACCCACTAAAAGTGTATTATCAGCTGATAGCTTACTCACAGCTGCTTGCAAGGTATTAACATAACGTTCTACAGAGTCCTCATCATTCCAAGCCACCGTTTCACTGTGCACTAATTTCGATAGTTCCATTGCATTTTTCAACATTATAGATCTTTGACAGGGTATCATACGATCACCGATGGTATTGTGAAAAGTAGCTATTTGTTGTAATCGGCGAGCGTAACACATATACTTAGCGGCATGTGTTGCAGCCGAACGTAATTCGGAGGGTACATTATAGCCCATATTTTCAAATTCTCTAACATCTTGACAAAATGTTACCAATTTTGGGTTAAATGTAACACGCATAAGTTGACGACCCTCTTTTTCGAATTTCACCACGGGTTGATCATCGCGGAGTCTAAGGAATCAATAAAATGTTGTAAATTTTAGATAGAAGTGATAGGGATAGAATTCGAGTTTTACCTTAGATCTCCCGACTTGACTGCTGTCGCATGCTGACCACACCAAATTTCGAAATTAGTTCTCAATAATGATTCCGTTTCCTCTTTTATTTCCTGTACCGCTTTATTGATCTTATCGAAACCTTCCCTTCCAGAGATAAGATGGCTGACTTTTTCGATTTCTTGGATCTGCAAACATAATTAATATTTTAGTTCGCCAGATTATGATTTGGCTGGAGTCCTCCGTAAAATCTAGACTGAGAAGTAGACTATGGACTAAGTTGTAGACTTGACTCTAGACTATAATAGCATGGACTTAACTATGAAATTAACTATGGATTAGACAGGATATACTTTGAAATAGACTGCGGATTACTTAGCGTAACAAACTTTGGACAAAACTGTGCAACAGACTGTGGACTCGATCGACTTGATCGACTGTGGACTATACTGAATCAAACTATACTATAGAGTAGACTATATACATTCGACTATAGACTAGAATATAGACTGGAGTGTAGATTATACTACAAATTCAACTAATTATAAACTCGACTATAGATTCGACTATAGACTAGAATATAGACTAGACTAAAGACTCGACCTAAGACTAGACTAACGAATAGACTAACGACTAGACTAAAGACTAGACTATAGACTAAACTATAGACTAAACTATAGACTTGACTATAGACTAGACTATAGACCAGACTATAGACCAGACTATAGACCAGACTATAGATCAGTCTATAGACCAGACTATAAACCAGACTATAGATCAGTCTATAGACCAGACTATAGATCAGTCTATAGACCAGACTGTAGACCAGACTATAGACCAGACTATATATCAGTATATAGGATAGAATATAGACTAGAATATAGACCAGATTATAGACAAGTCTATAGATTGGACTATGGACTAGACTATAGACCAGACTATGGACTAAATTGCTGACTAGACTGTTTACTAAACTATGGACTAGAGTGTAGAACAGACTACAGACTAGACTTCAGACTAGTCTACATACTAGACTATAGACTAGAGTATGGACTAGACTATAGGCCATACTACAGACTAGACTGCAGACTAGATTATAGACTAGACTAGATTATACACTATACTATAGATTAGACTATAGACTATAATAAAATTAGTATATAAACTAATTTATATACTAAACTAAGACAACCACGTACCTGATATTGCACCACTTTCAACCAACGGCACTCATTGCATATTACCGATAAATGTCCGGTATCAGGTTCCATATTCGTATCAGTCATAGCTTTACGTAAATCCTGCAAAAGAATCTGCAACGATTGCATGAATTGCTCGCGCTCAATAGTTAATAACTCCAAGACCGTGGGACGTTGTATTAATGTTTCATATTTTGAAAAAATAAATATCACTTGACGAGGATTACTCAAATGATGATGTAATTGCGCCTTCAAGGCGGAAGCAATCCGCTCATCTGTAGGCTGTAATAAATGTTCAAAATTTTGCAAAGCCTTATTCCACTTTGCCTGGCCCATGGCGGTAGTATCGAAAATATTTAGATTTCTAAATGGCGATTGATTTGTAATCATTTCACGCATTTCCTCATCATTTAAAAGAGTAGCAATTTGTTTGTAAAGATTCTTAATATTGCGAATTTCCAACATGCGCTCCTTAAACATTTGGGCACGTTTCGGTATATGTGCTTCCCCCACCCACGGATGTTTGACATAATTGGGCCAAAAGAGTCGAGTCAAAGAATCGCACAATTGTATCCAAGATTCTGCAGTATCAATACACTGACTCATAAGGCTGTTTACCACGGAACTGTTTAAACTCCAAATATCCTCGTTGATCAAGGGCTCCAAACAAGCTTCAATTACTTGATTGCCGATTATATCCATTAGATCAGCCATACGATTTTGGGGAAATTGATAGGATAAGCGCCAAAGTTCATCGAAATTATTGTGAGCACTATCGAGAAAGTCTTCAATGTTATTGCCAGAATTGCTGTTTATTGATCTGAAAGAATATTTTGAATAAATAAATTTTAAATAATTGTATAAATAATAGAAAAAGGTACCTTATACGCTGCTCTACGCTTTCCAAGATACCTATAAATACTTGTGCTGCCTCTCTATCTAGACGGGAACTGGATTTATTATTCAGCTTTTGTTTCCAATAGTTTATCTCATCCTTGATAGATGTTATACCTAAAGTTAAGTAAAGTGAACGAATTTAAATCAGTGACGGGGAACACTCACTTTATTATTTAAGTGCGAATCGGTACAAAATTTAGTCTAGATTAGACCATAGACTACTATAGACTAGACTATAGACTAGACTATAGACTAGACTATAGACTAGACTATAGACTAAATAGACTAGACTATAGACTAGACTATAGACTAGACTATAGACTAGACTATAGACTAGACTATAGACTAGACTATAGACTAGACTATAGACTATAATCTATAGACTAGACTATAGACTAGACTATAGACTAGACTATAGACTAGACATAGACTAGACTATAGACTAGACTATAGACTAGACTATAGACTAGACTATAGACTAGGCTATAGACTAGGCTATAGACTAGACTATAGACTAGACTATAGACTAGACTATAGACTAGACTATAGACTAGACTATAGACTAGACTATAGACTAGTCTATAGTCTAGACTATAGACTAGACTAGACTATAGACTAGACTAGACTAGACTATAGACTAGACTATAGTCTAGACTATAGACTAGACTAGACTATAGACTAGACTATAGACTAGACTATAGACTAGACTATAGACTAGACTATAGACTAGACTATAGACTAGACTATAGACTAGACTATAGACTAGACTATAGACTAGACTATAGACTAGACTATAGACTAGACTATAGACTAGACTAGACTAGACTATAGACTAACTATAGACTAGAACTATAGACTAGACTATAGACTAGACTATAGACTAGACTATAGACTAGACTAGACTAGACTAGACATATAGACTAGACTATAGACTAGACTATAGACTAAGACTATAGACTAGACTAGACTAGACTAGACTAGACTATAGACTATAGACTAGACTACAGACTAGACTATAGACTAGACTATAGACTAGACTATAGACTAGACTATAGACTAACTATAGACTAGACTATAGACTAGACTATAGACTAGACTATAGACTAGACTATAGACTAGACTATAGACTAGACTATAGACTAGACTATAGACTAGACTATAGACTAGACTATAGCTAGACTATAGACCTAGACTATAGACGAGACTATAGACAGACTTAGACTAGACTATAGACTAGACTATAGACTAGACTATAGACTAGACTATAGACTAACTATAGGACTAGACTATAGACTAGACTATAGACTAGACTATAGACTAGACTATAGACTAGACTATAGACTAGACTATAGACTAGACTATAGACTAGACTATAGACTAGACTATAGACTATAGACTAGACTATAGACTAGACTATAGACTAGACTATAGACTAGACTATAGACTAGACTATAGACTATACTATAGACTAGACTATAGACTAGACTATAGACTAGACTATAGACTAGACTATAGACTAGACTATAGACTAGACTATAGACTAGACTATAGACTAGACTATAGACTAGACTATAGACTAGACTATAGACTAGACTATAGACTAGACTATAGACTAGACTATAGACTAGACTATAGACTAGACTATAGACTAGACTATAGACTAGACTATAGACTAGACTATAGACTAGACTATAGACTAGACTATAGACTAGACTATAGACTAGACTATAGACTAGACTATAGACTAGACTATAGAAGAGACATAGACTAGACTATAGACTAGACTATAGACTAGACTATAGACTAGACTATAGACTAGACTATAGACTAGACTATAGACTAGACTATAGACTAGACTATAGACTAGACTATAGACTAGACTATAGAGTAGACTATGGACTATACTACAGACTAGAATATAGACTAGACAATAGACGAGACTATGGACTAGACTATAGACTAGAATATTGACTAGACTATAGAGTAGACTATGGACTAGACTATAGACTAGACTATAGACTAGACTATAGACTAGACTATAGACTAGACTATAGACTAGACTATAGACTAGACTATAGACTAGACTATAGACTAGACTGGATTATAGACAAGACTATGGACTAGACTATAGACTAGACTGGATTATAGACAAGACTATAGACTAGACTACATACTAGACCGTAGAATTTTTTGTTTCATCATCACTTTTAGACTATAGACTAGACTATAGACTAGACTATATAGACTAGACTATAGACGACTATAGACTAGACTATAGACTAGACTATAGACTATACTATAGACTAGACTATAGACTAGACTATAGACTAGACTATAGACTAGACTATAGACTAGACTATAGACTATACTATAGACTAGACTATAGACTATACTATAGACTAGACTATAGACTAGACTATAGACTAGACTATAGACTAGACTATAGACTAGACTATAGACTAGACTATAGACTAGACTATAGACTAGACTATAGACTAGACTATAGACTAGACTATAGACTAGACTATAGACTAGACTAAGACTAGACTATAGACTAGACTATAGACTAGACTATAGACTAGACTAGACTAGACTATAGACTAGACTATAGACTAGACTATAGACTAGACTATAGACTAGACTATAGACTAGACTATAGACTAGACTATAGACTAGACTATAGACTAGACTATAGACTAGACTATAGACTAGACTATAGACTAGACTATAGACTAGACTATAGACTAGACTATAGACTAGACTATAGACTAGACTATAGACTAGACTATAGACTAGACTATAGACTAGACTATAGACTAGACTATAGACTAGACTATAGACTAGACTATAGACTAGACTATAGACTAGACTATAGACTAGACTATAGACTAGACTATAGACTAGACTATAGACTAGACTATAGACTAGACTATAGACTAGACTATAGACTAGACTATAGACTAGACTATAGACTAGACTATAGACTAGACTATAGACTAGACTATAGACTAGACTATAGACTAGACTATAGACTAGACTATAAACTAGACTATAGACTAGACTATAGACTAGACTATAGATCAGACTATAGACTCGACTATAGACTAGACTATAGACTAGACTATAGACTAGACTATAGACTAGACAATAGACGAGACTATGGACTAGACTATAGACTAGACTATAGACTAGACTATAGACTAGACTATAGACTATACTATAGACTAGACTATAGACTAGACTATAGACTAGACTATAGACTAGATATAGACTAGACTATAGACTAGACTATAGACTAGACTATAGACTAGACTAGATAGACTAGACTATAGACTAGACTATAGACTAGACTATAGACTAGACTATAGACTAGACTATAGACTAGACTATAGACTAGACTATAGACTAGACTATAGACTAGACTATAGACTAGACTATAGACTAGACTATAGACTAGACTATAGACTAGACTATAGACTAGACTATAGACTAGACTATAGACTAGACTATAGACTAGACTATAGACTAGACTATAGACTAGACTATAGACTAGACTATAGACTAGACTATAGACTAGACTATAGACTAGACTATAGACTAGACTATAGACTAGACTATAGACTAGACTATAGACTAGACTATAGACTAGACTATAGACTAGACTATAGACTAGACTATAAACTAGACTATAGACTAGACTATAGACTAGACTATAGATCAGACTATAGACTCGACTATAGACTAGACTATAGACTAGACTATAGACTAGACTATAGACTAGACAATAGACGAGACTATGGACTAGACTATAGACTAGACTATAGACTAGACTATAGACTAGACTATAGACTATACTATAGACTAGACTATAGACTAGACTATAGACTAGACTATAGACTAGACTATAGACTAGACTATAGACTAGACTATAGACTAGACTATAGACTAGACTATAGACTAGACTATAGACTAGACTATAGACTAGACTATAGACTAGACTATAGACTAGACTATAGACTAGACTATAGACTAGACTATAGACTAGACTATAGACTAGACTATAGACTAGACTATAGACTAGACTATAGACTAGACTATAGACTAGACTATAGACTAGACTATAGACTAGACTATAGACTAGACTATAGACTAGACTATAGACTAGACTATAGACTAGACTATAGACTAGACTATAGACTAGACTATAGACTAGACTATAGACTAGACTATAGACTAGACTATAGACTAGACTATAGACTAGACTATAGACTAGACTATAGACTAGACTATAGACTAGACTATAGACTAGACTATAGACTAGACTATAGACTAGACTATAGACTAGACTATAGACTAGACTATAGACTAGACTATAGACTAGACTATGGACTAGACTATAGACTAGACTGGATATAGACGAGATTATGGACTAGACTATAGACTAGACTGGATTATAGACAAGACTATAGACTAGACTACATACTAGACCGTAGAATTTTTGTTTCATCGTCACTTTTAGACTATAGACTAGACTAGACTAGACTAGACTAGACTAGACTAGACTAGACTAGACTATAGACTAGACTATAGACTAGACTATAGACTAGACTATAGACTAGACTATAGACTAGACTATAGACTAGACTATAGACTAGACTATAGACTAGACTATAGACTAGACTATAGACTAGACTATAGACTAGACTATAGACTAGACTATAGACTAGACTATAGACTAGACTATAGACTAGACTATAGACTAGACTATAGACTAGACTATAGACTAGACTATAGACTAGACTATAGACTAGACTATAGACTAGACTTTAGACTAGACTATAGACTAGACTATAGACTAGACTATAGACTAGACTATAGACTAGACTATAGACTAGACTATAGACTAGACTATAGACTAGACTATAGACTAGACTATAGACTAGACTATAGACTAGACTATAGACTAGACTATAGACTAGACTATAGACTAGACTATAGACTAGACTATAGACTAGACTATAGACTAGACTATAGACTAGACTATAGACTAGATAGACTAGACTATAGACTAGACTATAGACTAGACTATAGACTAGACTATAGACTAGACTATAGACTAGACTATAGACTAGACTATAGACTAGACTATAGACTAGACTATAGACTAGACTATAGACTATACTATAGACTAGACTATAGACTAGACTATAGACTAGACTATAGACTAGACTATAGACTAGACTATAGACTAGACTATAGACTAGACTATAGACTAGACTATAGACTAGACTATAGACTAGACTATAGACTAGACTATAGACTAGACTATAGACTAGACTATAGACTAGACTATAGACTAGACTATAGACTAGACTATTAACTAGACTATAGACTAGACTATAGACTAGACTATAGACTAGACTATAGACTAGACTATAGACTAGACTATAGACTAGACTATAGACTAGACTATAGACTAGACTATAGACTAGACTATAGACTAGACTATAGACTAGACTATAGACTAGACTATAGACTAGACTATAGACTAGACTATAGACTAGACTATAGACTAGACTATAGACTAGACTATAGACTAGACTATAGACTAGACTATAGACTAGACTATAGACTAGACTATAGACTAGACTATAGACTAGACTATAGACTAGACTATAGACTAGACTATAGACTAGACTATAGACTAGACTATAGACTAGACTATAGACTAGACTATAGACTAGACTATAGACTAGACTATAGACTAGACTATAGACTAGACTATAGACTAGACTATAGACTAGACTATAGACTAGACTATAGACTAGACTATAGACTAGACTATAGACTAGACTATAGACTAGACTATAGAGTAGACTATGGACTATACTACAGACTAGAATATAGACTAGACAATAGACGAGACTATGGACTAGACTATAGACTAGAATATTGACTAGACTATAGAGTAGACTATGGACTAGACTATAGACTAGACTGAATTATAGACAAGACTATAGACTAGACTACATACTAGACCGTAAAATTTTTTATTTCATCGTCACTTTATTGTAATTCGAATACACATATACATGAGATATGAAATTTCCCTTTACAGTTGCATGCAAGGATCTTGGTTTAATTTTACGTTTTGGCTTAAGAAAACAAACTTGTTAATGCAGCACTACAGCATTATTTAAAAATGCACAAACGAAAGATTTAAATCTCAATTATGTTTGTTTCTTTTGTATAACTTATGATCTTTAATTCATCATTTTGTGCATTTTTCTTCTGTTATTTAAAAAGTACAAGAATTTTTAATCCATTTATCTTGTTTTTTTGGCATCGAAATAACCGAAAAACATTTAACTGCATACATTCCCACAGAGTAACCAAAGTTCTACAGTATTTGTATCCTTATATGCGTCCTTCCTTCCATTCGAATTCTTTCATTTCTACTTGTTACCTCAAGTACAAGTTTGTTTTGCAAAATAAAGTGAAAAACAAATTTGCATATCATTACATAACTTACCACTTTGAGGTAAACCCAATGTTGAACCAAGTGAAACATGTAAATTTTCAAGTAAACCACTTAACTCCGGACTATATTCGGTTTTCTGCAATCAGAATAATAAAATGGGAAAATAGTAGTAAAAGCTTTATAACAACAAGAAATATATACAATTATAAGTAACCTCCTTTCTCCTTTCTAAAACACCCTCCCCCCAAAAAAAAGAAAAAAATGGTAGAGAATAACTAGAATGTACTTAATTTTACAAAATCTAAACCAAACACATCAAAATATTCTGATATGTAAAAAAGTTTAGTAGATTGTGTGAAAGAATACAAAGATAGAATGTAGATTTTTTTGAAGCAGCTGGCATAGCCAATATCTTGAATATAACAATGGTTTTGAAATTTGATTCATAGTTATGAAAAATTAAAAAAAATTATGATAAGCTAATAATATTAGAGCAAATTTGTTCATTTGCTAACTATGTAGTTACTTATATTTGCTATTAAAATTTTAAAAATTGTTTTAATCGTATAGACTCTACATTTATAATAAAATGAAAATGTCTGCCAATACATTGTTTATAGTCAGTTTTGTTGTTCATCAGTGACGTTACGGACTTTACAACTGGACTAGATTGGATGTGGCAGTCTAAATATCAGGAATTGTTCGAATGTCCATTCCATTAGTTCTTAAACAAATTTACTGTTTAATCACGAACATTTCACCATTGTGAAACTAAGTTTGATCACTTCTGTGTAGTATGAGTGTATTTATCTTCCCGTTATAGAAATCGCAACTATTCATTTCTACATGAAGCTTATAATAGCCAATTTCCCTAACAAGGTAGTAGTTAGTTAGTAGTTATTTAGTTAGTTGTAGTTAGTTAGTTAGTTAGTTAGTTAGTTAGTTAGTTAGTTTAGTTAGTTAGTTAGTTAGTTAGTTAGTAGTTAGTAGTTAGTTAGTAGTTGTTAGTTAGTTAGTTAGTTAGTTAGTTAGTTAGTTAGTTAGTTAGTTAGTTAGTTAGTTAGTTAGTAGTTAGTTAGTTAGTAGTTAGTTAGTTAGTTAGTTAGTTAGTAGTTAGTTAGTTAGTTAGTTAGTAGTTAGTTAGTTAGTTAAGTTAGTTAGTTAGTTAGTTAGTTAGTTAGGTAGTTAGTTAGTTAGTAGTTAGTTAGTTAGTAGTTAGTTAGTAGTAGTTAGTTAGTTATTAGTTAGTAGTTAGTTAGTTAGTTAGTTAGTTAGTTAGTTAGTTTAGTTAGTTAGTAGTTAGTTAGTAGTTAGTTAGTAGTTAGTTAGTTAGTTAGTTAGTTAGTTAGTTAGTTAGTTAGTTAGTTAGTTAGTTAGTTAGTTAGTTAGTTAGTTAGTTAGTTAGTTAGTTAGTTAGTTAGTTAGTTAGTTAGTTAGTTAGTAGTTAGTTAGTTAGTTAGTTAGTTAGTTAGTTAGTTAGTTAGTTAGTTAGTTAGTTAGTTAGTTAGTTAGTTAGTTAGTTAGTTAGTTAGTTAGTTAGTTAGTTAGTTAGTTAGTTAGTTAGTTAGTTAGTTAGTTAGTTAGTTAGTTAGTAGTTAGTTAGTTAGTTAGTTAGTTAGTTAGTTAGTTAGTTAGTTAGTTAGTTAGTTAGTTAGTTAGTTAGTTAGTTAGTTAGTTAGTTAGTTAGTTAGTTAGTTAGTTAGTTAGTTAGTTAGTTAGTTAGTTAGTTAGTTAGTTAGTAGTTAGTTAGTTAGTTAGTTAGTTAGTTAGTTAGTTAGTAGTTAGTTAGTTAGTTAGTTAGTTAGTTAGTTAGTTAGTTAGTTAGTAGTTAGTTAGTTAGTTAGTTAGTTAGTAGTTAGTTAGTTAGTTAGTTAGTTAGTTAGTTAGTTAGTTAGTTAGTGTAGTTAGTTAGTTAGTTAGTTAGTTAGTTAGTTAGTTAGTTAGTTAGTTAGTTAGTTAGTTAGTTAGTTAGTAGTAGTTAGTAGTTAGTTAGTTAGTTAGTTAGTTAGTTAGTTAGTTAGTTAGTTAGTAGTTAGTTAGTTAGTTAGTTAGTTAGTTAGTAGTTAGTTAGTTAGTAGTTAGTTAGTTAGTAGTAGTTAGTTAGTTAGTTAGTAGTTAGTTAGTTAGTTAGTTAGTTAGTTAGTTAGTTAGTTAGTAGTTAGTAGTTAGTTAGTTAGTTAGTTAGTTAGTTAGTTAGTAGTTAGTTAGTTAGTTAGTTAGTTAGTAGTTAGTTAGTTAGTTAGTTAGTTAGTTAGTAGTTAGTTAGTTAGTTAGTTAGTTAGTTAGTTAGTTAGTTAGTTAGTTAGTTAGTTAGTTAGTTAGTTAGTAGTTAGTTAGTTAGTTAGTTAGTTAGTTAGTTAGTTAGTAGTTAGTTAGTTAGTTAGTAGTTAGTTAGTTAGTTAGTTAGTTAGTTAGTTAGTTAGTTAGTTAGTTAGTAGTTAGTTAGTTAGTTAGTTAGTTAGTAGTTAGTTAGTTAGTTAGTTAGTTAGTTAGTTAGTTAGTTAGTTAGTTAGTTAGTTAGTTAGTTAGTTAGTTAGTTAGTTAGTTAGTTAGTTAGTTAGTTAGTTAGTTAGTTAGTTAGTTAGTTAGTTAGTAGTTAGTTAGTTAGTTAGTTAGTTAGTTAGTTAGTTAGTTAGTTAGTTAGTTAGTTAGTTAGTAGTTAGTTAGTAGTTAGTTAGTTAGTTAGTTAGTTAGTTAGTTAGTTAGTTAGTAGTTAGTTAGTTAGTTAGTTAGTAGTTAGTTAGTTAGTTAGTTAGTTAGTTAGTTAGTTAGTTAGTTAGTTAGTTAGTTAGTTAGTTTGTTTGTTAGTTAGTTAGTTAGTTAGTTGGTGTCATATGAAACTTATTATGTCGAATTTCGTCGTTTTATTATTTTTTTATAACAGTTATGTCTGCTTAAACTGTATTCCGAGGGGGGCACTTGTATGTGAGCTAGGTGAAAACATTGGTCGATATTGCCCATTTTCAATACAAAACCAACTGCAGCTTTAGAAAATAGTTTTGCAAAATTTCAGCTTCCGTTCGGACTCTATCGTGCATTCAACAGACTGACAGACAGACGGACATGGCTAAATCGTTTTTGAATTTAATTAGGACCCAGAATATATATACTTTTGTGGGTCAAACGGAATTACAAAATCAATATGATGATGGGTATAATAATGGAGATAGTACTCCACCACGTATAGTAACTAGTCCGACTAGCTACAACCAGCTGCTTTGAAAATTTGCTAATTTTCTTCTTCTTTTCTTCTTTCGAATTTAATGCAACCGATGAAAAATTATTTTATTTATTTTTATTACCCAAATAGTCACAGTTCTTCGAGCAAAATTTGAGGATTCCACCTCTAATAGTTTCCCAGATAAACGAATTTTTGTACTTAATTCATATGGAAGCTACCACGCCCCCATTGGTAGTCCGCCAATTTATTACCTAAATGTTCACATAATAAACGATTTTTTACACATTATTCATATGGGATGTGCTGGTGGACCGAACCTCCCAATATTTTTGTAGTGAGTTTGTGTTGAATTTCATCATTATACTTGTATTTTTATGCCAGTTATGAGCGATAAAGACATAAAATTACCGATTTTTATAAAATTTAATAGAGTGATTTTTATCATTAAGCCAGTTATGAGCGATAAAGTTATTTTCTGCAGAGTACCTTATATGATCGGAAGTGTCAATTCTGGACCGATCCTCGTACAATTTGGTAATGAGATTTTGGTTCCTACTAAACTTATTTGGGTTGGATTTCATTCCTATACTAGTATTTTGAAGCCAGTTATGAGACATAAAGGCATTTTAGAAAGGGGATCTTATATGTGGGTGGGGTCTATTCTGAACCGATCCTCATCAAATTTAGTTTTTGGTTAAAATCACTTTCTGAAAAGGGTCTGAAGCCTGTCAGACGCTACAATATAATTTCTGGATATATTCAACTACCTTTTTAAAAAATTTGATACCGATTGCAGCCAAATTAACTAATGACTGTATTCACTATATTCCGGCACCACTTATATGGCGGCTAGATGAAATTATGGATAATATTTAACAAACCTTATCAAAAGTTCAACCCTTTAGCTCTTGCCATGTTGTTCCTATCGTGTTTTCAACAGACAGATGGACGGACATGGCTAGATCATCTTAGCATTTAATAAGGACCCAGAATATATATACTTTTGTAGATCTACGACCAATATTTCGATCTGTTATCAATCATAGCCTGTCAATGACAATGCTGACTTTTAGGAAAAATTCTATGAAACTGCTTCCAAGAAACTGAAATTCATATTTTTTAATGGTGTATAGCAAAAATCTGTCCAAAATATTGTGGGATATTTAAAGAATCAGACACACTTTACATAAAAAGCTGAAAAATTCCTAATAAACTAAACTTAATAATGGCGCACTCCCTAAAAGTAAATTTTATTTATGTTTAGCAATAGAATAATTCTCTAGACTATATTAGATTAAAACTTTATTTTGTGTTGCTTAGCTGTTATCTGGTATTATAAAGGAGTATCAGGAGAAATGCTACTACTATGTTTAAATAAAATATAAATAACAATAAACAAAGAAAACAATGTGCATTTCTGCACCCAAATATATTCATATTAATGTATGTATATGTTTATGTAGTAAAAATAATAACACATACCCGAGTATTTGCATGTGGTGAAAATACACGTGAAACAGAATTATAAATGGATTTAACCAAACCTCCTTCAAGCGTCAAAATGCCAAGTGGTTGGTTATCTATAGTTGCTGCTGTTGTTTTTACCATTGTTGATGATGACGATGTTGATGTTGCACCGGCACCTATACCACTTTTACCAACTTGTGGTATTTTATAGAAGAGCAAACAAACTTCATCGTTTGGTATGCGATGATGAAATTTAATTTTATCTTCTTGTTTATTATGTACAGCTGAGATTACAGTTATTTCATCATTTTCCAAAAATTCTAATATTGCTGCGGTCTGTTCATCCAAAGCGATGCCAGTTTGTGAATTCACAGCAAAATATTCCACTAAATAGCGAAAATTGGAAGACATACAGTAGAAATAGAAAGCACAAAAATTAGGTCATGTCAATTAGAGATTTTAAAAGAAAAAAAAAAAAAAAAAATATATTTATTTGATTCTGTTTTATTTCTTATTTGGGTACCGGATGTATTGATGATAAATTTCGTTTTATTCGACATGGTGTTTGGATTTATTTATCCAGCGAATGTCTTTAATTGTAAATTTAAATATTTTTTTGTGCCAGGAATTTTATTTCCTTTTCTGTTTTTTTTTTTTTGCAATTCACTTTTCGTTTGACTGTTGTCCTTTGAGCTGTTGTTTTAAATGTGTCCCATGTGTTGGCTTTTATTTGTTGTGTCCTTCCTTGGTGAGCTTCGTGATTCGTTACGTTTCCCATGGCAACCATTTGTTACCATGGTTAATACGGTTGTCTGGGTTTCACTCACCTGTTTGCTTGTTATTTTTATTTACCCGGTCGGAATATTGTTGTTTATGTAGTCGTTGTTGTTGTTAAACAACATCCACCAACACATCCACTGATTGTGTGTGTCACGTGCTAAAATGCCTTTTAGTGGTTGTTTTAATTTAATTGTTTTGGTTATTTTTGTTTTTCTCCGATATTTTATTATTGTATTTTGTTGTGATTATCCTTGTTGTGTACAGGTAATGTAATGGCAGGGCTTAATTCTATTTGTAACGGAGTATTTTTACCTGACTATTGTATGAAATGAGTTTGTGTAATGTTAAGTGCTATTTTCTTGCGTTGATTTTATTCTGGTTCTTCAACATAATTTCATCAGTCTTAACATAGCATTGCTCGGAATTCATGAAAAGTGGGCTGAGCTCGTCGGCTGGGAGGGTTCTTTCTATATTAAGACTGTCTGAGCATCAAAACAGAAAGAGAAAACTATAAATTCCAAGACTTAAAAAAAAAGGTATTGAAGAAAATTAATAGATTGTGTGATTTTACATGTGTGAAGGATGTTATTTTCACAACGAACACTTTAATAATAATCCCACCCATCTATATCTTGAGATACATCAGTGATCGTAAAATATTTGAGTTATAGTATCTCCCCTAAAGTTTATTTTAAGTTATTCCATAGTACACTTATTAACCAACATTTCCTTTAAAAAATACTCTACTCAATCTCAATCATTTCCAACTTAATTTATTAAAAAAAATTATAAAAAAAATAACATTAATTTTATCAAAGTTATGTTTTTATATTCTAATACAGAATTTTCCTTAACTATTTATATCGAAATTTTCCACAACAAAATGTGAAAAAATAAGATTTAAA